TTTTTTTTCTATCTATCTTTTATTTTTTTTTTTTTTTTTTTTTTGTGGGGGTGTGGGATGGGGTGGGGTGTCAGTGGAGTTGGCAGAGTCCTTGGGTTTTTTTCTTAAACGTCACTATTAAATAAAATCAGCAACACAATTTTACATTACTTACACCCTTTTGTATTCTACTTACCCTTGCAATTTCACCTTTCAAAGGAGTATTTTTTTTAAAACAGTGTTTACCTGTTGACCAAGGATTAATACTGATTTCCTAAGTAGCATACTTTAATTAAGTTTCTAATACCATTAAATTAATACTTGTTTTTAACAAACATTTTTTGTATTGGTTGTTAAAATCATAGACAGAGTAAACAATACCAAGGGGCGGAACGAATCCTAACCCATGTCCATGAAGTAGACTAGAGTGCCATAGAACTGTAGAACAATGCAAATCTGCACAACTAGTTGCAGCAAGCCAACCTTCTCAATAGCTGTTGGCGTAAAAGTTGTTTTTGTTTATTTTTAAACCATTGGAAACCGATGTCTTGAAAAACGTTTGTGACCTGAAAGTTAATGAAGCCTGGTAATACGAAAGTTTACTCAACCATTAAGACTCGACAACTAGCTACAGCGATATTTGACGAACTATGACCCTCTTAAATGACCTGATTTTGCATTCCCTGGAAAATACTTTATTCCTGGGAAGTTCTTAAATTTTCCCTTAAAAATTAGCTGAGTCCAGACCACTGCAAATAAAGGACTCACTCTCCGGGAACAGAGACCGGTTGAAACATGCAATCAGCTAGAGGGTGGCTAGGTATTTTGTCCCATTTCAGGAACATACAATTCAACCTGGACACCAATGACATTTATTTGAAGTACATTTTGTTTCGTCTAATCGTTTTGGTAATTCATTTATTCAAATATTTTGAAATGTGTGTTAATTTTTAATAATTTATCTCTATCAATAATTGAAAGTATCATTTAGAATTATTTTTTTAACGGGAATGTATTGTTATTTTTTTAATCATTGTTGTGAATAAGAATTTGAAATTAATTTTGATAACATTGCTCAGAATGTGAAAATGTTATTCGTCAGGAACAAAACTTTTATTTTTGAATACATAAAGATGAGAGTTGGCTCCTGAACTCCACGATGTCCCCTCTAGGCATGCGGTGTTGCTGTCTGTACCCAGATGGCCGCTGAGACAAATCGCTGCACGAGTTTATGTCATTTCTATTTATTAGTATCCGCAAGGAAGGATCCAAATACCTCCAGAACCAAAATTGTCTCCTAACTTTTCTGGTTCGCCACTTGATTATTGCAGAAGTTGTTATATTGGCCTCCTAAATAAATGGATTCATTCGTGTGACGCGGCTCTACTCTCTATTTTTAAGGGTGTCTTAGACCAGTGGTTCCCAAATCGTTTTGATCCTTACGTCGCCGGTCAACACAACATGAGTAAAGAAACTCCAACAAAAAAATGCCGTGTTGCATTGACTTAGTCTCGTATAAATTGTGTTGAGTGTGCAAATAAACCGTGTCGACAAGGAACATTGTTTTTTTAAATATTAAAAAAAAAATTCCACACAAAACAAGGCCAAGAAATGTACCATCAATCTTCAGGCTTTACACGTCATGGCTAAACTGGGAACCGCAAACCATTTTTATGTGTGAGAACCAGTCATAAGAGATCGCACCAGGCAACGGTAGACATTTCAGGAAATAAGGATGCACCACTTTTCCGCTCATTTCAAGTTTGTATCATTATTATCGCGAGATTACCTAACACCCTGCACTAGGATACACTTACGTCAAATTTGATTATAACTTTTATATTTTAAAATATTTACATGTTTATATTTTGCAATTGAAATTTTTTGTTTTGTTTTTTTTTTATTATCGTTTTTTTTTATAATTTAAAACCAAAAGAAACAAAAATTATAGCGAATTCTATGTCATATATATAAGGTCAAATAAAAAGAAAAAATATATATATGGTGTCGGCCCATTTTGCAAAGGTAAATGTATCCACTGGTCCGTAGTGCATTGTGAAACCTGTCCATCAGACCGAAGAACTTTACAGTCTTGGAAATTCGGTCGTAGACGCTTCCACAAGTCATACCTCTCCAGATTTGACATGTATCGCGTCAAGCTTGTATTGAAGCCATATTTGCTGAACCTCTCCTGGCCAATCGTGTGCAAAGGTCGTATTTATTTCCTTATGAGAACCTCCTCATTCTCTGAATAGGATAATAATATTTATTCCATTTACAGCTACAGATTTTTTGTTTTATAATTTTAGCGGTTTAATTTATATAAGAAAGGTAACTCAGTTATCTTTAAATTCTGTTTTGACCCAGTGTTATCTTCCTTAGGTTCACTCTGAATTTAGCTTTAATTTATTTATTTTTGGCTTTTTGAAAGTTACCTGTAACTTGAGTTGAGCTGTACGCTTTATTAGATGTCTGTCAATTCAATTAGAAAAAATGTAGGTGGTGAATACAATAACATCCAATATAATTCATGCAATGTCCGGAAAAAAAACGTATTTAATGGGGCAAATCCCATCATTTCGATAATTGTTACGCATCTGTTGCTCATTAAGATAACGGCAAGTTGTTATCCCCAACATAAAATTATTTTCCTCGCTACGTCATAAAAAAAAATGTGGTTTCCGACGGTCTTAGTGGGGACCCCTGTGTTTTAAGTCTCGTTTGACCCACAGGTTGCTAACTGCGGATCTAAATATTATTCCAACACATTTGGCCGAGTTTTGCCGACTATGTTAGCGATATGTTGACGAGCTACATCAATTTTAAAGACTTGAGATTTTCAGGCTACATCCGTGCATTACGTTCATTTACACAGCAATACTTGGCGAAATCGTAACAAGTTAAGTTTTTGAGACCCGATGAAATATATCAAAATAAAATCTGTTAAGATGTTAGGCTAGCCCTTAAATTGAGTTATATACACATTGCCTTTCCAAAGTTATTATTTTGCATTCACGTTAAGGCAGGATGATGGTCCCAAGCTTTAGTTTAGTAAGTTACAGATTTGTGAGGTCCCTTATGTGACACTACAGCCGGGTGTCCCATGAGACAAAAGTTGAAATCCTCGCTAATGGGACGATAATGCAGCATTTACTAAAAACAATAAACCAGAGGCTTACAGCGTATGTCCTGACCGAAAATGTTCCTTCAGCAATAAGACAGGTTTGGTGAGCATCGGCTCGTTTCGAATAATTTAATAGGTCATTGCTTACATGTCTTTCATGATCTAAATTTTAGGACCAGCAAAATGCGTTTAAATAATGTTGACTAATGAACTATGTTTCTTACTTAATGGCATTCATAATGTTATGTTCATTATGCTGTATATTGAGTGACAGATTGCCTGGGTTTTGAAATCTTTTCCCTGGTCTTAATTAGCCAAAATGCTGGATCGACCTCACGTTAACCGACCCCTCTTATCTGACAGAAAACCCCAGCAGCCCACCCCGGTGGCCTACTTTCTAGATGTCGTTTCACTTGCACGCCTGGTGACTAAGTTTTAAATATCCCTGGGATCAGGAGGGGGGAGGGCGTACTGATGGTATGGCAAGATACTGCACGTGCCATGGGCGCCACTTTCAGAACCAGAAAAACAAATATTTTATTTACTTACTTAAAGAAAAATGGAAATTTCTGCTTTGCATTTAATTTAATTTGCTTGTAATAAATAAGCAACGAGTGTCTGTGTTGAACTTGATTGGAATATTTGCTCTAAAAATTAATTTTATAAATTTTTAAATGTTAAAACAAGATAAAACAGGGTCTCACATTTAATCCTTGTCGCGGGCGTCAAATGCCATAGGTATACGCCTCTGCACGGGTCTCTGTTTTATTCTTGGACAATACGCAGCTTGCAGTCAGAGCTCTGAGCACCTCTGCCTGGCAGGGGGTCATTTCAATTGGGATTTCAGGTTGTTGTTGTTGTTTTTCTTTACATCCACTGTTTATGTTCATAAATTATAACAAAAATGCCACCAAATATAGTGTTTGGAGTGGCTGATTAAAATACTGATGTTTTGTTTCTTGTGTGTCTGTTTTTTGGTTGTTTGTTGTTGTTGTTTGTTTGTTTTTTGCATCACTTCGAACTTTCGGCGTAGTACGTTTTATATTTTTACTTTTAAAATAATTTTTTTTATTTACGTTAAACGTTTTCCATCCAGTCACTGATTATTCTAGACTTTCTGTTTGCCTCAGACCAAGAATCCCTGTATCAAATTAACAAACCAAGACTTTCTGTTTGCCTCAGACCAAGAATCCCTGTATCAAATCAACAAACCAAGACTTTCTGTTTGCCTCAGACCAAGAATCCCTGTATCAAATCAACAAACCAAGACTTTCTGTTTGCCTCAGACCAAGAATCCCTGTATCAAATCAACAAACCAAGACTTTCTGTTAGCCTCAGACCAAGAATCCCTGTATCAAATCAACAAACCAAGACTTTCTGTTTGCCTCAGACCAAGAATCCCTGTATCAAATCAACAAACCAAGACTTTCTGTTTGCCTCAGACCAAGAATCCCTGTATCAAATCAACAAACCAAGACTTTCTGTTTGCCTCAGACCAAGAATCCCTGTATCAAATCAACATACCAAGACTTTCTGTTTGCCTCAGACCAAGAATCTCTGTATCAAATCAACAAACCAAGACTTTATGTTTGCCTCAGACCAAGAATCCCTGTATCAAATCAACAAACCAAGACTTTCTGTTAGCCTCAGACCAAGAATCCCTGTATCAAATCAACAAACCAAGACTTTCTGTTTGCCTCAGACCAAGAATCCCTGTATCAAATCAACAAACCAAGACTTTCTGTTTGCCTCAGACCAAGAATCCCTGTATCAAATCAACATACCAAGACTTTCTGTTTGCCTCAGACCAAGAATCCCTGTATCAAATCAACAAACCAAGACTTTCTGTTTGCCTCAGACCAAGAATCCCTGTATCAAATCAACAAACCAAGACTTTATGTTTGCCTCAGACCAAGAATCCCTGTATCAAATCAACAAACCAAGACTTTCTGTTAGCCTAAAGAATCAAACAAAACAACCAAAATTGATGATGCTAAACAAATCCATCCACCCCTTAACACCCCCCCCCCAAATCCTAAAATAAGGACTCCCTGACTCTTTGATGTTGAAGCATTTATTTAAAGACAAATTGCATACATTAAACTAGTTTCTATTTTCGTTGTTAACACACATAGTTTCATTATCGGCCCTGTGTTGGACATTGCCAAGGATCTAGTGTGAGAAAACCATTTTATTAGCATCTGTCCTGTATAGGACCCAACCAAGGTCCTAGTGTTATAAACCATTTCATTAGCACCTTGCTATGTAATGAATGCAACCAAGGACCTTGTGTGAGAAACCATTTTATTCGCAAGTACGCTAAGGCAACTCTCTATTTCTACACTCACTCGCCCCCCCTCTCTCTCTCTCACTCTCTCTCTCTCTCTCTCTCTATTTCACACATACACACTCACACACAACATACTGTCACAGTCTCAACCTGACATCGGCCTGTTTACGTGGGCCAGCTGTCAACATCTTGCTCAGATATGTGTTGGACTCAAACAGTATAGTTTTACAGTTGTCATTCATTAGATTTGTCTGATAAGCGTTAGGTAAGCTTGTACTCACTATAACTTAGATTCAATTATGTGTTCCTCTTGATAGCAGGGTTTCTATTCCTGCAAGCTACAAAAGCCTAAGCCAAGCGCCTGACAATCCAGAAGAGTATTTTTATAGCGTACCGTTAGCAAGGGCACGAAGATGGCTCTTTATTTCTACACGCCCACTCTCGCTCTCACTTTCTCTCACACACCTGTGAATCATCTCTCATGCAATGTATGTGATCAATAACTGATTCAATCATACTAACTTATTACACCGTAAAAGCCAAATTCTTTCCTACTCGTAACTTGCACGCAGCGACTCGTCAAATCCATAGTGTCAAACACATGAGTAAGACGCAGTCAAGAGATCTAATACAATTTAAAACTGAATGTCGAAAAAAAATAATTAATTTTAACATTATCCAAAGACGCCGTTGTATTTTTTTTTAATTGGTCACATATTTTTTTACATAACGAACTGCCATTGCATGCACACATCTGAACCATAATCTCCGATCTCTATATTTAAAAACGTTTTTGTGAAAATGTGGTTTTGTTTTTAAATCAATTATACTAACTTCGCTTTTGTTCGCTGCTGGCTGGCAAAAAATTTTCGTTTGGTCAATGGACCCACTTCCCGTCAATGTATCGAGATGAAACTGGGCACATGGACTTTTTGCGGATGACGACACATTCTATCAAATGTTCCAACCCATCCCCTGATCAATACCCCTTTAAAAAAAGGGTTGTTCCTGTATGTCAAGTAAAAAGGGTTGTTCCTGTATGTCAAGTAAAAAGGGTTGTTCCTGTATGTCAAGTGGAAGATGGAGATATGATGGCAAGGAGTTCACTCAATAATGAACCCGAGAGCTGCGCCGCTAAATGAGATGCGTCACAATATCACGATGCGTAACATTTTTATTTTTTTGGGGGGAGTTTTTTTTTTTTTTTTTTTTTTTTT